CAGTCCATGGTGTCTTCAGTATTCTCCATCAAAACGACAATTCAGAGGCATCAGCTCTTCTTTGGTCTTCCTTCTTCATTGTCTAGCTTTCACACACATAAGAGGTGATTGGAAATACCACAGCTTGGGTTAGGCACACCTTACTCTTCAGAATGACATCTTTGGTCTTCAACACTTTAAATAGGGCTTTTGCAGTAGATTTGCCCAGTGCAATACAACGACGTCTGATTTCTTGACTGCTGCTTCCACTAGTGTGGATTGTGAATCCAAGTAAAATGAAATCTTTAACAACTTCAATCTTTTCTCCATTTATTGTGATGTTGTTGATTTGCCCAGTTGTGAGGATTTTTGTTTTCTTTATGTTGAGGTGTAATCCATATTGAAGACTGTAATCTTTCACCTTTAAGTCATCTTCACTTCAGCAAGAAAGATTGTGTCATCTGCATATTGCAGGCTGTTAACAAGTATTCCTCCAATTTTGATGCCACATTCTTCTTCATTCATATAGTTCAACTTCTTGGAGTATTTGCTCAGCCTACAGATTGAACAAGTGTGGTAAAAGGATGCAACCCTTATACACACCCTTCCTGATTTTAAACCATGCAGTATTCCCTTATTCTGTTCAAACGACTGCCTTTTGGTCTATGCACAGGTTTCTCATGAAAAAATTAAGTGTTCTGGAGTCCAAATATAGAGTTCATGAATAGATTGTAAGAAATTTGTATTACTTTTAATGCTGTCATAGACCTATGTTGCTTTGTATCCTCAAAATTTATTAAAATCAACTATTTTATTGCAAAACTATTATTTTTTATTTCCCTGATGATATTACTATAACTTTCTCACATTTTTATTTACATGACCTAATTAATCCTTAAAAGTAATAACAGACACAATACAGAATTCTTGCTTCATTACAGTGAATTGTCTTTTTTGTCTATTTTCAATTGTCTGTGTAAAGCAATAGGCTAATGTAAAGTAACCTAGGTATTTTCTGTATATCTATCTAGCCAGATTATAAATTTATCCTTATCATAATAAGTGTCACTCCTCCTCATATACAACTGGCCACTAATACTTTACCATTCCACCCCCTAAATAACTCTTCATTTTTTCCCTCTTCTCCATCCACATTCTGATTGTTTTGGAACAGCCCTCATCTTTTCTAGTTTGCTAAATTTCATAGGTTGTCTCACTGCCTATAGTCTTCACCCTCCCCAATCCACCCTGGCCAACAACCTACCCTCTAGAACCAAGGGATTTTTAAAAAACACAAAACCAATTACATTGTTCCCAATTCTTACATGGATTTCCATTATCCACAAAGCTCCTAAATCTTGACCTCACCTACACCTCTAGGCTTGTTATGTAAGAACACAGATTTTTGCTTTGTTAGGACTGATTCCATATTGTTGGAAAGACTCCATATTTTTAGTTAAAATGCCATTTAACACCTGGCTTCAACTTGTGTTGTAATTAACTTGTTCTCTCTCTAAGATAAACAGTTATCAGTTCCTGCTGTACCTGTGATCTAAGATAGAGCCATCTGTGTCAATAAAGGTCCCCATGCCCACCATTGTTTTACTCCTAGAACATTCTTCTCCCAATTGTTAATCAATTCAAGTGTCTCTTCTGCTGGACTCTCTCC